ATGAAGTTTTTTTATTGTTAATCTCAAATCCTGATGACATTGAAAAGAGAAGCAAAAAAAGTTATTTTGTGGCCTCTGGCTGTTAATCATGGCGGTAGCGGTACGTACGCCCAAGAGTCGCCTGGGCCAACATCATCACACTTCATTCAGTTCACTGGATTGGTTCTACGCTACTGGACAACTTCAGCTTAATATAAGTTTCAGGTTACGGGTGCAAGCTACTCGGCTACGGCCTAGAGTACGAAAAGGAACGGGGTGTTTATCTATACTAATATTATAAAGAAGTAAAATATTTAAGTTTGTATGTTTTGTAAGATTGTATGTAGGGAGTAATCTTTGGAACCACTGGTTGCATTACCAAAATTCTTACACTGATAGATAGCTACAATGTTCCTGAATGCTATAGGCGAAAACATCAGGCTACTATAAAATGGAGCCGAGCAGCGAGTGCAACCGCGCAAGAGTAGCTAGTTTATTATATTAGGGAGAGTTGTGGTGGATTAGGCCTCTGGAAACCTCACTCACACGGCAGAAGACAACACTGTGATTCTATACTCATATATATTCTATACTAGTCTATACTAATATTATAAAGAAGTAAAATTTGTAAGTTGTATGTAAAATTATGACGTTCATGAGTGCTATAGGCAATAATTTAACCTTTTTGCGGATTTTATTTTAACTATCGCTTTAAACTCTTCGCTAATCGCTTTACATAACTTTTATACACTTGCAAAGTCGCGGGTGAAAGCTAGAAGTCTATAGGAGACCGATAATTCTTCTCGCTATTTTGCGTAGATGAAAGAAGCAATGTGATGATTTTTCTTATTCTTAAAAAAGATAAAGCTATAAGCTTAAATGTTATATAAGCTTCTCATTTAAGTTGAGGTAATCCAAACTAATATTATAAATGCGAAACTGTCTGTCTATCTGTCTTTTCTTCACGCCTAAACTAGAGAACCTATATGTGTGAAATTTGGTGCAGACATAGTTTGGAACTCGAGAAATGACATAGGATATTTTTTATACCAAAGATCTGCAGGAAGTCACTATTCCACGGGAGCAAAGTCGCGGGCAAAAGCTACAAATCTATTAAAAATAAATAGATTTTAGCCTACTTTAGACGAAAACCTTAGAGAAAGATATCTTCTATCGATACACCAACATAATTCGCGTTGTGTAATTGAGTAAACGCATTTGTTTTACTAAGATAACTACGTCATTCACTTCCTACAAACTTATCTTACGAGACAGGTCAAAGTCATTCAGTGGTGCGTTAGAGTATCATCGTTATCTTGAGGGTTTTTTGATTAATATGACTAAAATTATATTCAGCACCATCAGACTGATGGCTGATTTGGGTTCACTTACAATAACAACTTATTACCAAAGTTTTTTTTAACACGTTGCCCCACGTTAGGATTTTCTCCTGAGTCGTGGGTGCGTTTACAAACATACAATTTCATATGCACATCACACCCAGACCCGGAACAACAATATGTGGATCACACAGAGTTGTTCCGTGCGGGAATCGAACCCGCGACACGTTGCGCGGCAGCCAGTTGCCCAGCCATCGCGCCAACCGTGCAGTCAAGTGGGAAAGACTCAACTTTTTTGTGAAGGGAAAATCATCAAATGACTTCTCCCGCCCAGGGTGGGGCGAGAGACCCGGGGAGGTTTAGTCAGAAAGCAGTGCCAGTTCCTTCTCCTGTTCTAGCCCAGGCCGCGGTGCCTGCGGCTGAAGCTCTTCTAGTTTCAATTTACAGCAGAGCTCTAATTCTGAAGCTCCATACATCGTAGCTCGACAAACGAGTAGACGGATTACCTGATAGTAAGCAATCGGCGTTGCCCATGGACACTCGAAATATCAAAGGAGTTACTACAAGTGCGATTTTACGACAATAGGGGATTTGAGGATAGAAGATGAGTTGCTTCACGCCTATTTTTTGAAAGGCCCTACCGTGGTATCACTCCGGTAGTGTCGACCTATTCGTGGTGAAGCATGAATTCTCTCCATCCCCAAATTCCCCTATAATTAAAGCCTTTAATCCCTTATAACCCACATAAGGTCGGCAACGCAGGTTGTGTTACGAGTGAGCACGGGCGGCGTCGATTACTGACCACCAGGTAATCCGTCTGCTCTAAAAAAAGGAAGAGATTTGTTATATGACCTTCGAGATGAGTTTATCATTATCAAACCAGTACAGCTGCAGCTTGAATGATGAATATTTATTTAAACTTTATGCAACAAAACATTACATAGGCGGACTAAATGCTGTAGGCATTCTCACCAGTCAACCTTAGGGTGATGCAGAGAGTAGTATTTACACTTATCATAATGCACGATAATAATGACTCTAGAACTCAATCCATGTAAATAGTATTTACAGGCAATAAAATAACTAAACTCAATACTTTATTCTTAATAGTTTAAGCTGTTTTTATTATATTTCTTGGTATTTTTATTATCTTTAATTTATTGCGACAGTTAAATTGTCATACACATATAAACAATAATAAATTTCAAGAAAACGATTATTAAAATGGATATTCTTAGTTAAAGATAGATAAATAATTGTGACTTCAAATCATGCTACGGCTTTTCCCATCCTGGGTTTCATTGAGCCGTAACCACCACTGACGAGGCTTACTAGGGAACGATGTATATAATACTAATCTTTATATGTAATATAAAAATTTCGTGTCACCTTTTTGTCCTTGATAGACTCCTAAACTACTAAACCGATTTTAAATTTGATTTGCATTCCGGGTGCATTTTGATCCAACTTGAAAGGTAGGATAGTTTACATCTCAATTGATAGTCACAATATTATTTACCTTAGCCACAGCAACGCGTTGCTGGGTTCGCTAGTACATATTATATACGCGTTAATGTTGAAAAGTATGGACGAATGTTTGTTACAATTTCTCGAAAAACTACTGAATGAAACCGATTGAAATTTGACATAGAGATAGATTTTTAAATTTGGAATAACATAGATTAATTTTTACCCTGTTACCGTGTATGAAGCCATGAGCAGAAGATAGTATAACATAAAAAGAATAATTAATCGTAGTTAGCGCACTCAATCCCATTCATTTTTTGCTCTAAAACAACGATGACTAATTGAACGCATTAAACACCATTCTCAATATCTCTAATTGCACTAAAGAGAAAAAAAGTTGGAAGGCAAAAAAATCTGGAGTAGTTTATCTATGGCTATTCGGCTCCTTGGCTTTTTGCCAATCCAAAGATCCGTTGTAAAGTCTTATAATATGATGTAATATTACTGAACGTCAAATGGACATTTAAAACAAACATCCTGAAGCTGAAGATTCTTTAATTTTATAGTATTTATATGTTGTTACGTCTCCATGTTGAATTGAGAGTAATTATTTTAAGTTTGTTTGTATTAATAGTAAAAACCACGGACCGGTAGACGTAGCGCGGGCAGAACTCCTGTTATGTGGACTGACGACATCGTCAGAATCAATGGATGCGAGTGGCGAAATTTGGGGAACTAAGGGGGAGGTAGAGCTTTTGTCCAGCAGTGGAAGTCTTCCAGCTGACGATGATGATAATGCATAAACAGTATCGTTTATAATGGAGTGCTTTGCAAATGATTATGGTCATCATGAACAACAAGTGAAAATCGGGTGTAGAATTTTATAACATAAGAAAGTTTATCGCAACCTTCATTTTAGACATAAGGGTGGGAGAAAGATGTTCCTAAGTTATTGGTTATCAGAATACGCTGCTGTACAATCTCACTGGCGTAGTCCCTTAGCCGAAATCCCATACGACCGAATGCCTAGTGCCAGTATTCTTTTATTTAGAGGTATCGACACGTTTATAACGTACAGAGCTCTGATCACCCTGGCATGGTTAAACGCAGTTAGTTACATTCCAATAGCTTTAACTGCTTTGGCACGGAACATATCTTGTGTTCCACAATTTTCTTTTGTGGATGGAAAATCATCAAATGACTTCTCTCGCCCAGGGGTAAGCGAGATGGAGTGTCAAACTCTTACTGACTAAAAACCCCCGTTCCTTCTCCTGCTCTAGGCCGAAATCGCGGTGCCTTATTGCGCTTACCCCTAAACCCTGGCTGGTGTAATGTGTACCTAACACGTGTGTGCCTACATTTTTTAACCAGAACCGCGGATGTGCTTTGTGATGGCAATTATACCTGTTTTATCAGAGCCCCATCATAAGTGCACTGCAAAATGCTACTTATGCCTTACGATAAAACGTCAGAGGCCTTACTCTTGGCCGGATAGTGAAATGGGACAGCTGAAATTGTCACGGTCATATACCAATATTGAAACAATTTATATTTAGACGCGTGGGATATATTCATAACGCCGGACGTATTCTGGCAACGTAAACGCTAATATTCACGATGCTCGCTCATGAGAATTCACTATTTTCGAGACATTTTTTGTTATAAAACTACTAACGCCTAAATATTATCGGTTCTTCGATATAGATGTTAATAACTACTTAATGAATAATGGGAAGAAATTTATTATTAAATTTCGAGATTTAATCTATTCTCTATTATTATTTTTCGAGATTTCATCCGCGTTTCGAGACAAAATTTTATCCTGATATCCACACTGAAATCTTCTTCTTTGCCTAATTTCATTCGAATTTACAGAGTAAATTTTACGTGAAAGAGTAACAAACATCCATCTTAATCTTCACCGACTTTAAAATAAGTTTTAGGCAAAGGTCTATCCTAACTGCCCCAAATTTGATATATAATGACCCAGTAAAACACTTAATGAGAAATGTAGCTTAAGTAATTAATAAAATTTTAAATAGAAGCTTTTGCAAAAGCAAACAATCTTCAGTTAGTAGCTTAATAATGATCTTAAGACCTGTTAGCAAGACACCGTTGCCAAAAACAGGCAATTATGTTAAGTTTTTATAAAAAAAACTTCAAATAGCATCAATCATGCAGGCAATTTTTAATAATTATTTAGATTTGACATACCTGTTCGGGGTCTGAAGTCTGAAACAAATGAATCTATTTAGTTTTTCTTAATATCTCTTTCATTGAACTCGCCTGTTGGCAGAGGATTTTGAGACTTTTTTGCTGATTGTGAGCCCTCTTTGGGAGGGCAAAGCTGATTATCGATAGATTAGATAAGATAGGAGTATTTCTTATTGAAAAACACCCAATAATACTTTTGCCCAACCCGTGAAACTTAGTTAAACCCGCTATTCAACTATAAGGAAACGTAATCGTATTGGGATTGTTTTAATATAACACTGAAATATCAGAATACGGATCGTCGTATACTGTTTGTTTGTAGTCAAGGTTAAAAACAAGAATGTCGGGAATAGTTTGTTTAAAATATACAGTTTTACGCATAAACATTTTGGTTGATGAAGTAACAGGAATGAAGAAGCGACATCTATTAGATTACGAGAGAACTACGCAAAGCCGATGACGGGAAAATTGTAATGACAGTGACAGATGATCTAATGTCAGTCGTAATATCAAATCACTTGGAGATAGTATTTAAAAGATTTATCGTATGTACAATGCATTTTTGACAATGAGGCATTAATCACATTTTGGTCTCAATAGTTATTATCTCTGTGCTGAGCATTTTGACTAGTTGACTTTCATTAACAACTACATCATCATATCATCCTATAATCCTATAAGTGCTCACTGATGAGCAAAGGCCTCTTCTCACACTGAGAAGGTTTGAGAATCAAATCACCACGCTATACAACTACATATAAATATCAAATGCATAAACCCATTATCTGAATACAAAGAGGTTAACTGGTCTAGAAACTACCTAAAATCACCCATTTGAAAGCTTAAGCCAAATAAACTTAGTCCTAACCCAACTCAAAAATATCGCCACTAAAATCCTTATATATACCAACGGAACGCAATTAAATAAATATTTGGGTAGGTCCTTATAATAAAAATGAAAAGCGCGTTCCCAATCTTTACTTAGGAACCAAAGTACATTGATATAGAGCGCTTTAGGGACCCTTGGGAAATAGGACACCTACAAAATTGTTCCATGAATGGTAGTATTGAAATTTTTTGCTGTATTTGAGATGTTTACTTCACTGGTCGATTGGGAATGTTGGTTTTAAAGTAGATAACATTTGTATGTTTGGCCTATAATAGCATGTAGAATATATTATAGGACTTCAAGGTAAGGGATAGTCAGCAAGTGAGCCAGCGTACGAGAAGGCGAATCACCGAGCAAAAGGCTTAACGCTAGTCAAGTAGTAGGACAACATGGGCAACTAACAAATTCATACGATCGCGAAGAAAAAAGAAGTACATATTATGCGTATCCTAGTCCAATGAGGCAAGAAACCCCACTAGCTAATTTGGTCAAGCTTAAATCTTAAGACGACAATGAGAAAACATCTTGTGAAATTACAGTATTTACTCCTTCACAAGACAAAACAGCCAAAGTATCAGTCTAAAACTCCCAAAGAAAAAAGAACGCGAAGGTGAAACCACTATTTCTGGCAAAGGGACGATACTTGGTAACAGAATTTGACAGAAATAACAATCCAATGACAATCAGGGTTCTCGCGTCACAGAGGCGTTGACACCTGTGACGTAGGACCTGGCTGCGTGCCAACCCTAGGCCGATATTATCAAACTCCAACATGATTTAGTTGTAAAGTTTTATGGGAAGCAGTTTGCGTTTTATTTTCTTTGTAAATAAGAGTGAATGAAGAACATGTTGTCTGGTTTTTGTAACGATAATACGCACCATAAGGCAGTTTGGAGCTCATAATATGATTTATTTATTAGGCCTGATAAAATAACTATTGAAAATTTGACAGTGAAATGGGATACGCGTTAAACGACCAGGTCTATTACCAGAGTAAGTGACCAGCACCACCCATGGATAATTGGAAACAACAGAGGAGTTACCAGAACGTTTCTTCACAAGGTTTGTATCAAGTCGGCTTTCTAAAGGTCATGGCATCAGTCCGGGCTAACAAATTTGTGACGAAGCATGGCTCTTTCACGTGTAAATAAAATATCACCGACAATCTCATTATCAACAACAAAACAAGACATATACAAACTTTAGGGCATTCAACGCTATCCCAACACCTTTGTGGACCCGTCACAAAGGTAATTACTCAAACTTGGCTGAAATTCATGAAAATTGGAGGTCAGAATGACGCAGCAGACGAACGAAGACCTGCAAAGGTGGGCGAATAAGTGACTCTGCAGAAATTTCTTACAAGTTCTATAAATATGAGTTAGTCAGGATGGGCTTTTTGGACGTAGCAAAGCAACATATGGGTGTCATGGCCTTCTTTATGATATATGCTATTCGTCTTTTGGACATGGGAAATTGGGCTTTATTACAACATTCAGAAGACATCTAATGCTGAATATAGACCTTAATTTACATCCAGATAGGCCACTTGGAAGCGTCTTCCGCAACCAGAGTTTCCCTATCATCTAACACCGTTTGGCCTGGTCTCTTAATGGACTTGTTACATTAACTTTTGCTGCAAAACCAGTAGAGAATAAAAAGATAAAACTCAATCAATCGACAATTAAGTAACAAGGGCTAGGAAAAAAACTAACCAAATACAAACTTTCTCCAATTAAAAAAAAAAGGAAAAACAAAACGTTTTGAAAGTGGAACTCTTTATCGGTAAAACTACCCATTTGACATAACAAGATGGCGGTTGCATAACCTAGAATTGATTATATTATCAAATGTTTTTGTATCGAATTGATACGGTAAATTGTTTCCGGTTACCTCTAAATTAATTTAGCACCGGTAGCATACATGGATGCCGAGAAATATAATTAATTATTAAACTCTTACTTAAAAAGACATCCTCGTCATTATGACAACGGGACGTAATAATATCTTAAAAACCAAAACTCGATATGTTAACTGGAAGACTGTCCAAGGTTCCATCAGCCACCTTCCAATCCATCGTCAAACCAGCTCGATGTTACCATAATATTGTTTTGACATCTAATCTACACACAATTGCCAAGTCTTAGACTTTATTACTTCGTCAAAGGTCAACCCAAAAGCGTGTTATAAAAACAGTTAATTTAGGATAAGCCTATACATTATAAAGAGGATTTTTCGTAGTTTAAAATATTAAGATAGATCGAAGAAACTTAATGCGTGGCCTTTGGATAACTGTGTAGTCCGTTCATATAGCAACCACCGGAAAACGTGGGTTTACCAGACAAAGAAAGAACAGCTTCTTCTTCCTGCAGCAACCTTGTCTGGATGGGGGTCTTAACTTAGAGGACACCGCATTGATGATTCGAGTAAAGGCAACTAAGGGATATTATTTATATTAGGGAGAGATGTGGTGGATGGGGCCTATGGTAACCTCATCTACACGGCGAAACACAACACTGTAATTGTTTTCTGAGAGGCCTAGGTATCACTCCGGTCGAGCCGACCTATTCGTGCCAAAAATATAAAATCCAATAAATAAAATACAAAACATGACGTTATAAAATCGCTGGCAGATTATGATAAAACAAAACGTGGTATATAATAAAATAATCTTCAGTCAAGGCCTTTTATAAAGGATTTTCCGATCGAATACATCTTTCTAATCTTATCAGAAATTTAATTCATTTCCAACACAAGTAGCTATTTAATAAATTAATCGAGATATCAACATTAATTTTTATTTATTCATGAGTGTTGTGACGATATCATAGCCTCCCAGAAAACCGTCCGGAAACAAACCCTTGTTGGGTTGTTTTTCGCCGTGTGAGAGAAGTTATTGGCGATCCAAACTTTCCCTTAAGACAGACGTGTCTTCTCTTTTGACACCCTATTTCATAAAAAAAACTTTTTACATATTATTATTAAAATTTTCCAATCTTTCCCTCCCATCCTCAATCCTCAAATCCCGAATAACATACAAGAGACTGCCAACGCACTTGTCGTAACTCCTTTGGTATCACAAGTATCATGGGCGCTGCTGATTGCTTTCCAACAAGTAATCCGTCTGCTGGTTGGTCGTATTGTAACATGTACAAAAAAAATTAACAGAACTAGATCTGGCTGACGGATGCTTCGAAAAACAACACCCCGTATCTATGGTCTGAATGAAAATTGGCACAGAGATTGCTTATCGTCTTTTTTTGTCAGGAGAATATCATCAAATGACTTCTCCCACCCAGGGTTAGGCGAGAGAGAGAGTCAGACTCTTACTGACTAAAAAATCCCCGTTCCTTTTCCTGCTCTGGGCCGAGGCCGCAGTGACTCATTGCGCTTAACCCGCAACCCCGGCTGAACATCAGCCCTATAGGGCCCCGTCTGTGGTGGTCTATTGGCTCTTTGAGGCGCGCGCGGAACGTCTGGAATAGTACATAAGCTACATTTTACCCTGGGCATGCAGGTGACGCCGCTGGCAAACGCTAGTCAGCTCATATGTAATAGATTACGTGTCATAATCTTGAATTTTACAATCACGATACACAGTTATCAACAGCTATCTGCAGGCAGATTGATAAGACGACTTAGATATTGCAACATTGAAACGAGCAGGTTGTTCACCCATACTTATAGGCCTTACACCACGCTATATAGTTTTTTTTTTCAATCGGCCTGACGTATTACCTGATGGTAAGCAATCAGAGGAGTTATGAGTACGTTGAAATTAAGGTTTTGGAAATTTAGTGATTAGGGGAGGGGAAGTATGGGTTCTCCGGGAACAGCTTCGGCTGGTTGGAAAAACCCTTCATCCATCCTAAAACGGGATTCCACCCAGAATTTATTCAGATAGTCACGCTTAAAAGTATCGAACGAAACAAGCGAAAAAAACGTCTATCATAACTTCAATGCAATAAAATATCGACTTATTCGAATACAGCCACGACTAACGCCATCTATACCACAGCGCGCGAACTAAATTGTCAGTATCACAATCAAGTATTTAGCGATTGTTCAATGCTCATGAGTGACATGACTACAACTTAACATCATAACTTGGTATATTCTTGAAGGGTAA